GTTTACCATTACCAATAGTTCCAAAGCCAATGATTTTTCCCTTCTGGTTGCCTTCGAAACCAACAACACCTCCAGACTTAAGTTCCAAACTTGGAACATATGTCTTTTGCCCCGTCATATGTTGCGAGCATCCACTGTCCAGGTACCATGACTGGTGTTTTAGTGGTGCCATCAAGGACATTTACAACATAGATTATCTGATCCTTAGGTACCCACTTTCTGGGTTCTTTCTTGTTATCAGTTCTAGAGGTTCTGAACCCTTTGGAATCTTCTGCAACAAGATAATTTAGTGGAATTTCTGCATGATATTTTGGTTTGGAAGTTTCCTTCTGTGTCTGTAGTTTTGCTACAGTGGAATCAAAACCTTCTTGTTCTAGACATTTCAATTATGTGCCAGTAAGCATGAAATGTTCAGAAAGAGGTTTTGGTTTGACACTCAGAGTCTCATCAATTATTTTTGATGGTCCTGAATATCCCAAGCCTTTACTTCCGTTTCTGCTAACTCCGTATATCATTGAAGCCATTTTTCTTTTATCTATGATTTTAGCTAGGAAGTGCTGAAAAGCTCTATCAAATCTGATTACTTCATCAATGACAGATGTACTAGAGATAATCTCTTCTTCTAATCTAGAAACTTTACTTTTCAGAGCAATATTTGATTTTTCTAAAACAAATAATTTTTCACTCAAATCAGAAAGGTTTTTTCTCATCTTTAGTAGAGTTCTCAGAAGTAACCACAAAACATTTATTTAGAGTTTTATGTTTACTTAGAAGAGATTGATACCTTTTCATTAGTTTTGATAAGCCAATTTCAAGTTCAGAACGAGATAAGGAAGAAATTATCTCTTTGTCGTCATTAGAGTCTGACTCATCATCAAGTATCAGATCATCCTCCGATACTGCTTCGCTCGTGATGGTCTTTGCCATGAATGCTACGTTGGCATGTTCTTCATCAGAATCTTCTTCTTCTGACTCTGAATCATCCCATGTTTCCATGAGACCCTTCTTGGCTTTGTAGGCCTTCTTAGGTTTCTTGTCTTTCTCGAGCTTTGGGCATTCATTCTTATAATGTCCAGGCTCCTTGCATTTATAACAGGTAACTTCTTTTCTAGAAGCATTCTTCTGACCAGATGTAGATTCAGATCTACCGTTTTATTCTTCTTGATCCTCTGAAATTGCTCTGTCTGTGTTTCCATATCTGACTTATCCATATGGATATCAAAGAAAGTTCATCTTCATCTGAATCTTCTTCAGACCCTTTTGATTATTATTTTGCTTGAAAAGCCTCAGTCTTTCCAGACTTAGATTTCAAAGCCACAAATTTAACTATTATCTAAGGTTCATCTTCCTCAAGCTCTATCTCTTGACTTCTTACAAAACTGATTAGTTCCTCAAGATTGGTGTTGTTCAAATCCTTTGACAATTTCAAAGCAGTTACCATTGGTCTCTATTTCTTAGGAAGACTTCTTATAATCTTCTTAACATGATATGCCATAGAATATCCTTTACTCAGAACTTTGAGTCATGCAACAAGAGTATGAAATCTTGAAAACATCGTTTCCTTTGATTCATCATCTTCCATTATGAAGGATTCATATTTCAGGATTAGAGTCAGAGCCTTTGTCTCCTTAATTTTTGTATTTCCTTCATAAGTCATATGAAGAGAGTCAAAAATAGACTTTGATGTCTCTCTATATGTGATATTCTCATACTCATTATAAGAAATAACACTTGGAAGAATTGTTCTTGTATTGTAATGATTTTTGTGAACCTTCTTCTGAGCGTCTATCATAGCACTTATGGCAATCTTTAGACCTTTATCATCTACTGGGTGAGTGTATCCATCAACTACAAAATCCCATAGATCCAAATCATATCCTAGAAAATAACTTTCAATTTTATCCTTCCAATAGTCAAACTTTTCTCCATCAAACATAGGATATTTAGCACTATATTGATCTCTATCTTTATCCCTATTTATCAGCACATTAGCATTGTTACCTTTATCTGCCATTGTTTTTCACACAATTTGGATCGGTACTGAACATTGTTAGGTGCTTGATAAAAATCCCAACTTTTTATTTACTCCTCAGAACCAGGCTCTACCAAATGAAGGTGTGAAAAACACAAGAAAGGGGGGATTGAATTGGTTTTAAACCAAAAAAAAATTCCTTTTAAAATCCCCTTTAAAACGTAACAAGTTACTTCACCTAGTGATAATATTGGTAAGATGCAAGAAGGAAAGAACAAGTTATGTTTATACTAGTTCACTTGAAAACTATCAAGCTAGCCTAGTCCATCCGCCAAGGTGATTTCTCCTTTCTCAACAAGGACTTAATCTAATAATCAAACAGATTATTACATGCACAAGCTAACTTCAAGTGACTAACATTACAATCTCTAAGACATACTAATCTTAGACTTCTCAAGGATTCTGACTAACTGGTCCCTTAAGGAAAATCAAACAATTGTTTAAACAAAGTTTGTTTACAAGAAATTATGCTTCTACACAAGCGAATATGTAAACAGTAATTTTAGAATATAGACTAGAGAAATATGAAAGCGTATGAACAGTCTTAATAGAAAGTGTATCAATGTGAATTGGTCGCCTTCTCTCATATAGTCTTCAAGCCTTTATATAGACAATAAAATATTATAATCGTTGAAGGGTATTTTTGGAATTTCAAGAAAGCTGGAAGGTTGAGAAAACACGTGGGAGACAAGATCGTATGCAACGTCCATCCTACAAGGTAATGGAATGGAACATTTTGTTTGTACCATGTACTTTTTGTACCACGTAATCTTATCCTCTTTTTTTTCTAACATCAGAGGCTTCTGATTATGCGTTGGAAGAATGAGAATAACACTTGGGACTTCAGAACTTTAAGTCTTCAGAGTCTTTAGAACCGCGTCTTCAGAATATTTTGCACTTGAACTTTAGAACCCTTTGTAGAACCTTGGGTCACCAAAACTTCAAGTCTTCAGAATCTTCAGAAATTCGTCTATCAGAATCTTCAGCACTTGGTCTTTATAACCCTTTTTCTTTAACATAAGCCTTCAGCATCTCGACTTTAGTTAGAACTTCTGTCTTCAGATCTTCAGAACTTGGTTTCTTGGACAAGTATCAGAGTCACTACTTCAGAGCCTTATGAAGCTTTTGCTATTGTTCATCAGAACTTGTGTAGCTTAGAAGCAGAACTTATTCTCTTTTAATGTCTTGGCAACACCGTTTATCAGAAGCATGACTTTTTTGTTAAATACTCAAAATAAATAACATTAGAGTACCAAAATTGTTCATGCAAATATACTCATTTGTTATGATCAAAACTCGGAGATAAAATTGCAGACCAACTATTGTTCTAACATGATAATGTTCTTAACCTTTTCTTAATATTTGTATCCCTATGTGGATAAAACATATACTCATGCACCCCTTAATAAATTATGATCAATTTAGTTTATGCAATGATCTTCCAATTATATTTAAGCATTTTCTCTAAGGCACTAAAGGCATCACTATGATTAATGGATTGTAATTGCTCATAAATCACTTATAATTCTTGGTCAACCCTTTGGCATAGCTATGCATATTTCTAAATACATCATTGATCCAAATCTTAAGCCTATTTTTAGAAGCCCCTCGCAAAATACAGACATCATTAAAGTCAAATTTGGTTTGGGGTAGCCTTTCGTAAAAACCTTACATCACTAAAGTCATATTAAAGATGAACGTTGGGTAGAGATGATGGAACATGGCACAGAGGAAATCTCAAAAGACGTGATGGGATGCGCCTCTAATTCAACGCTCATTTGTAGCTAGGGTTTGCCCCTCGCAGATGTGCGATTTTAATAGTGTCATTTTCTCTGTGCGTTGGGTGACCCCTCGCAATGCTCAATTTCGAAATTTAAAAAAATCCCTCCTTCTAATTTGCGAGGGGTATCCCCTCATAGTTTCGTTTTTTATTTTATTTTTTATTTTATGCGTTGCAATGTGATAAACTCTAAACTATATATATATATATATATATATATATATATATATATATATATATATATATATATATATATATATATATATATATATATATATATATATATATATATATATATATATATATATATATATATATATATATATATATATATATATATATATATATATATATATATATATATAATGATGTAATTTTCACTTTGTAAATACACCTGATTATAAACATGATTTTTCTTGTAGTATTAGTTTAAAGGGAAAACAATGGACAACCTACCAAATTTTTTCTCCAAACATCAGGTATATGATTCTTGCAAGAATCATGCAAAGATCCCATTTTAAAAAACTTGAATTGAGATATGAAAGTGGTATTGATGATTTGAAATTTAAGTTAACAAATAATATTAAAAGAAAATACAGTTTTAAGTGATAAACTACTTAACTTATTATAAAATTATAAAATTATAAAATTTTAAAATAAGAAAAAATAAATTATAAATTCATAAATATTGTGTTTTGGATAATTCTAATAGAATTTGGTAAGGAAACTCAGCTCATAAAAAATGGTATTATCTAATATTATTTAATTTCAAATAATAATAAAAAATTATCAAAGGAGTCTTATTTAAGCATATAAATTTATAAGTTTTAAGTCTTATACAAAATTCAAAATGTGATATTTTGTAAAAAAATATCCCTAATTATATCATGAGGGTTGTTGATAATGTTTTATTGACTGGTAGTATTTGACTGCAGAAAAGAAAACGAGTGATACTCTTTTATATAATATTTGTGCCAACTCATGATTGATCATGCAATAGAAAACAAGTACATTCGTCTACATGTAGCTGTCAACACGGCAAGATATCTGAGTGATTGCATTGCACTTTCCGCTCTTTCTTCCTTCCTTTCACAAATCTATCTCTCACTCTATAAATACAAACTCCCACTTCTCTCTCTTACAATCATCTCTTCATTTCATCACCACTACCTTCAACTCAAATCCACCATGGCATTTCTTCATACTTCTTCAGCCATCTCTTTTCTCTTATCCCTGTTGCTATTTCTTTCATTCACCACAACATATGCTGCAGGAAATTTCTACCAAAACTTTGACATAACTTGGGGAGATGGTCGTGCCAACATACTCGACAACGGTCAACTTCTCACACTTTCTCTCGACAAAGCCTCTGGTTCTGGATTTCAATCCAAGCACGAATATCTCTTTGGAAACATTGATATGCAACTCAAGCTTGTACCTGGAAATTCTGCAGGCACCGTCACTGCTTACTATGTAACTACAAATCACGCTTACTGTCTTAATGCTTATAGTAATCAAGTTTCAAATTTCTAATTATTTATTTTTGATATGGCATGATGCAGTTATCATCAAAAGGATCAAACTGGGATGAGGTTGATTTTGAATTCTTGGGAAATGTAAGTGGACAACCATACATTCTTCATACCAATGTGTTCAGTCAAGGCAAAGGTAATAGAGAGCAACAATTCTATCTATGGTTTGATCCAACTGCTGATTTCCAATGGGGATATATGGAAGCTCAAAATAATGCGATGAAAGAGACGCGATCGAAGGACAAAATGGTATTATACATGTTGTTCAGGGCTGTAGACGAATCAGACTTTGAAAAGATTACTGGTTCGACTACGTCGAAAGAAGCATAGGACACGTTAGAAAGAGTGTTCAAAGGAGCAGATCGAGTGAAGCAAGTTCGACTCCAAACTCTTCGTGGCGAATTGGAGAGGATACAGATGAAGGAGACGGAAATTGTATCTGACTACATCACACATCTGCAAAAGGTGGTGAACCAATTCACCAGATATGGCAAAACAATAACTGATGCACGAGTTGTTGAAAAGATCTTAAGATCTTTAACAGACAAATTTGATAATATTGTGTGTGCAATAGAAGAATCGAAGGACCTTTCTACGCTCTCAGTCGAAGAGCTCGTTGGCTCTCTCGAAGCACATGAACAACGAAAGATGAAAAAGAAGGAAGAAGCAGTCGAAGAAGAAAATTAAACCAAGGAGTCGAACAAAAACGAAAATGTACTCTTTTCTCAAAACTTTCGAGGAAGAGGACGTGGACGTGGAGGTCGTGATAGTGGTCGAAGCAGCAACTTTGAAAGAGGACAATCGAGCCAACAAATTTGGCAAGGCAGAGGACATGGTCAAAGAGGTGGTCGATCGAACCACTCCAACTTCGAATGCTACAAGTGTGGGAAGTATGATCATTACGCGAAGGATTGTAACTCCTACAAATGTTACAACTATGATAAAATGGGATATCTTGCAAAATATTATCGAATCGAAAAGAAGATTGAAGAAACAACCAATCTAGCCTTGGAACCTGAAGTGAATGAGGGCTTTCTCCTGATGTCTCAAAACGAAATCAAAATCAATAATGACAATGTTTGGTATCTTGACTCAGGAGCAAGTAATCACATGTGTGGCTATAAACACCTGTTTAAAGAAATGAAGAAAATTGAAGATGGTAATGTGTCTTTCGGAGATGCATCAAAAGTGAAAGTCGAAGGAAAGGGCACAATCAGTTACTTGCAGAAGGATGGCTTGATTGGATCAATCAAAGTTGTTTACTATGTTCCAGATCTCAAGACCAACATCTTGAGTTTGGGACAACTTACAGAAAAAGGTGTTTCGATACTTATGAAAGATCGAACACTGCATTTGAAGGACAAAGCAGGACATCTGATTTCCTGTTTTGAAATGGAAAGAAATCGAATGTACAAACTGAACCTGAGGAACGTTCGAGAAAAATGTCTACAAGTTGAAATGCAAGACAAAGCGTCACTTTGGCATATGCGTTTTGGTCATCTACATCATGCTGCTTTAAGAAGATTGGCAAAAAGGAACATGGTGCATGGACTACCAGACATGGATTATGAAGGAAAGTTTTGTGAAGAATGTGTGCTCAGCAAACAAACAAGAACCTCATTTCAAAAGGAGGCAGAATATCAAGCTAAACATATCCTCGAATTGATTCATACTGACATATATGGGTCAATCACTCCAGAATCCTTCAGTGGAAAAAGGTACTTCATTTCCTTTATCGATGATTTCTCATGAAAGACCTGGGTTTATTTCTTGAAAGAAAAGTCTGAAGCATTAGAGGTGTTCAAAAAGTTCAAAGTAATGATGGAGAAGGCAACAGACAGACATATCAAAGTAGTTCGATCTGACAGAGGTAATGAGTACACTTTGATGGCCTTTATTAAGTATTGTGAAGAGCAGGGCATAAGGAGATTCCTAACTGCACCATATTCACCTCAGTAAAATGGTGTGGCTGAAAGAAAGAATTGAACTATTCTTAACATGATTCGATCAATGCTTAAAAGCAAGAACATGTCAAAAGAATTATGGGCAGAAGCTATACAATGTGCTGTTTATGTTCAGAATAGATGTCCACATTCGAAGTTAGAAGATAAAACACCACAAGAGGAATGGAGCAGACAGAAGCCAATAGTTTCTCATTTTAAAGTATTTGGTAGTGTAGCTTATGCACATGTACTAGATCAACAAAGAACAAAACTTGAAGATAAAAGTCAGAAGTACATATTCATTGGATATGATGAGAAGATGAAAGGGTACAAGCTATTCGACCCCATAAGCAAGAAAGTGGTCGTGAGTAGATACATTTGAATAAATGAAGCAAGCATGTGGGACTGGAACAATTCGACAGAGGTTATTGATGCAGTCGAAGAATCAACTATAGTTGTACCAACAAGCATCCCAACAGAACATGAAGATACTGAAGATGAAGATGAACCTCTCAACCCAGAATACGAAGTTTGCAAGATTTATATGATTCGACAAATGAGGTACATCTTGTGTGCCTTCTGGAAGATGTTGAAAACATCAGTGTCGAAGAAGTGTTACGAGACAAGAAGTGGAAAAGTGCCATAGAAGAAGAGATTAGAGCAATAGACTGCAACAACACTTGGGAGCTAGTCGAATTACCAAAAGATAGTAAACCCATTGGTGTAAAGTGGGTATTCAAGAAAAAGATGAACGCTCAAGGAGAAATTTAACGATTCAAAGTGCGAGTTATTGCGAAGGGATACAAACAAAAAGCAGGAATTGACTATGACGAAGTGTTTGAACCTGTTGCATGAATGGAGACAATTCAATTGCTCATTTCTCAAGTTGCTCAATTTAAATGACCAATATTTCAAATGGACGTCAAGACAACATTTTTGAATGGTGTGCTCGAAGAAAAAATCTATGTCGAACAACCACTTTGGTATATGAATATTGGAGAAGAGAAGAAGGTGTTGTAATTGAAGAAAGCGTTATATGGGCTGAAGCAAGCACCACGGGCATAGAACACACGCATTGACACATATTTCAAAAGGAATGGATTCGAGCAATGTCTTTATGAACATGCCCTCCATGTGGAGAAAAATGGAAGTAATGTATTACTTGTTGCTCTCTATGTTGATGATCTTATTTTTCTAGGCGGTGATATTCAGATGATAGAAGAATTCAAGAGCACCATGACACACGAATTCGAAATGACAGACTTAGGTCTGATGAGATTATTTCTTGGTATGGAGGTTCGACAAGAAGAAACTGGAATATTTATCTCACAAGAAAAATATGGAAAATAAATCTTGGAGAAATATAAGATGAAGAATTGCAATCCAACTTCGACGCCAATGGAACCAGGTGCAAAACTGTCAAAATTTGATGGAGGAGAACGTGTCGAAGTAAGCAAATATCGAAGCTTGGTAGGTAGTCTTCGCTATCTCACATGCACAAGGCCATACATTTCACTAAGTGTTGGAATTGTAAGTCGATTCATGGAGGAGCCAGTACACACACATTGGAAGGCACTAAAATGAATTCTAAGGTACATCCAAGGAACAATGTCACTTGGAATGTTTTATTCAAGAACAGAAGACTACAAGTTAGTTGGTTATTCTGACAGTGACTGGTGCGGAGATATAGACGATTGAAAGAGCACTTCAGGATATGTGTTCTTCATGGGAAGCACGACATTTACTTGGCTATCGAAGAAGCAACCAAGACTAACACTTTCAACGTGTGAAGATGAATATGTGGCAACATCTTGGTGCATTTGTCATGCAATATGGATTAGAATATTTTTGAGCAAGATGGAGCTAAACCAGGAAAGTGCAACAATAATATAAGTGGACAACAAATCAGCAATCAAATTGGAGAACATGTGAAGGAAGGAAGTGTCGGATTGAAGCATGTAGAAAGCAAGGATCAAGAAGCAGATATTTTCACAAAACCACTATTGAAAGATATCTTTGACAGAGGCAAGAAAATGATAGACATGATGGATGGAAGAAACATTTAAGTTTATAGAGGAGTTTTGTTGAATAAACTTTAATGTTATTAGTAGTGGGTTTTATTATTAAATAAGGTAGTAGGAAGGTTAAGAACCAAATGTAATTTGAAAAGTCAAGAGGTAGTAGGTTATAATAGTTTTTTTAGTAGCAGTTATCTTTCTTAGAATTGTTGAAGTCTTTTGGGTTTATATAAAGACCAAGATTGTATTTTATTTTCAGAACTACAAGATATAAAAGTTCGCCACTTTCTCCAACAAAACTTCCATCGAAGTCTTCTCTTGTTTTAACAATATAATCTTCTAAACTGATTCTATATTTGTTAAAAGTGTCTATAAATATAAAGATTTTGGCCAATCTGTCTTGACATATGTAAAATCCCATAAATATAAGTTGATTTCACATAATTATTGTACAAAGAGTGAAGTTTAATTTCAATTCCTAAAAAATAAATCATGTAATTCAAGTTAGTATAGGAGAAAACAAATGTAAATTGGGACTTTAGAGTATTCCAATGCTGGTAATTTATTTGATTGCTTGTGTCATATTTTGTGGATATGTTTGCTGGATTTTCTGACGCATCTCAAACCTTAATATATCCAAAAAGGCTGGAGGAAACACTTGGAGAAATTTAGTTGATTATGAGGGTGTTCCTTCGGCAGGCACGTTAGAAGAGTATTTCGACATGCACGTTCAAGGAAATGTGTCGAAGGTCCTATGCGCGTAGAAATGTTTAAAAACATAGAAAATTTTGGAATAAGTTTAGAGATTATTTCGGCTAAGAAGGGTGGAATGTGAAATGAGAGTAAGTAACTGATTTTTAGCCTTATCTGCATCTGAAGAACGCATGAAAGAAAATAGAGGGTGAAACGCATGTAGACGAAAACGTGTCCCCTTTTAGAGAAAGGAATATTAGTTACAATTATTTAGATTTCAGTATAAATAGGAAATTCAAGTGTTAGATTTCATGTGTTGACATTACTGCAGAAAAATCAATATACTCAAAGTATCTGAGCAAAGTGAGAAAAGAGTAACCGAGTGCAATGTATGTATTCTGTTGGTGGTATTCTAGAGGTGATATGTGATAAATTATATTGCTGCAAAATTTAGAGTAAGAAATATTTTTCTGTCACGTTTTGCACTAAACTTCCACTGGTGGAGGTTGGGCTTTGAAATACCCTGATTTTATTGAGTTCTCTTGTACCCCAATTTTTCCCCTAATATCCCTTTATCATACCTTATTGATTCAATCACAACAAGATCACATTAGGGCTTTTGGTTCTCCTCGCTATCTTTAGCTTTGCTCTTTGAGGAATCACCAAGCACCTTGACTTATTTTTCTTTTGTGATCATGCATGTTTTGTTTTGACTTTACTTTTAATTAATAAAATGCAATATTGGTTTGTCTTACTTGTTAATAATGTAGGTAAAGGAAATGTGGCTTAGCAAGTTGATCCATGGGTTCATGAGTTTATTTCCATGCCCTAGTCAATAAAGCTTGAGAAATTAAAACCTCACCATTGAAGTTGTTTTAGAATAAATGGCATGGCAAGGTTTATTTTGGTTCACCACATTTCAAATTTATCAAGATTGGTTCAAAAATACAAGGGGTTGATTGAAGAAGTTGTCATGGTGGGACAAGGCCTTGTTCCCATTGGTCACAAGTGCATATTTCTCTCAATTATCAATATATGGAAGTGGTTTTGGTTGCTATGAGTTCTCATTATCATCCGCAACAACTTATATCTACAAAGCAAAAGTGTTGGTACAAGAAGGTTGCTTAAAATTGTCAAAGTTCCTCAAAGCATTTTCTTGATCTAGGAGTTAGGGTTTTGAACTTCAAAGAAGTATATCTTGCTCATCTTCTGGTATTTTTGAGTGATTCCAAAAATATCCTTCTCTTTTAAGGGTTATTAACAAATCACTTCAAAAGTTTCAAGGAGTTTTCATGTGGAAGAAACTTGATGATGAAGAAAGATTACAAGTCCTCTAGATGAACCCCCAATTTCCCATGTGTGACTTCAAATGATCATAACTTGATCAATTTTTATCACCTTGAGCCCACTATTTTTTCACAATAATCTTGAGGATGTGAACTTTATTCCTTCTTTTATATTCAAAGTGAGAAAATGGATGGAAGATGCCCTAAGGATACAAAAGATTATAGGTCATTTCATGATTTTTTGCCAACTTCAACAATTCATGTTTCTCTCATTTTTTTGGAGATTTTGAATGGTTCAAGTTTCAAATTTTCATTCAAGAGGACTATTTCATGCTATATTTTTTTTGTCAAGCTCAAATTTCAAGAGGAAGGCCATGTTTGGATGCAAAACATTATAGGTCATTTTTGAAGAAAAACTTAAAATATTTCTAAGTATGGAAAGTCAACCTCTTTTTTCCAACTTTGACTCATTGCAACTTTCAGCTCAAACATCCATTTGATTCCATTATTTTCCCATTGCAAAGTTTGTAATCTCATCTTTCTAAAGCATCAAGAACCATGCCTTAAGACCCCTTGAGTTGAGAATGCCATTGTTTCAAAAGTGGTAACTTGGAATTGAAGTTTCATCACAAGTCAGAATTTGAATTTCATGTTACAACTTCTAACCCTCAAATTAGCCCATGTTTTGGGTCTAAACATGATTAGACAACTTTCCCAAGTGGATTAGTGCATTAAAACACGCGTTTTGGATGAGTTTTGACAAAAGAGAAGTCACACTTTCTTCATGATGTAGACCCATACGAATTCCCTCCAAATTGCATCATTCACCCTTCCTTTTGATCCAATTTTCTTCTCCTATAAATACATGACCTATCCTATTCTTTTTCTCAAGCTTGAACAGCCAAAATCACCCTTTCAAACTCGCTCCATAACTCGCTTTTCTGCAACTTCGAAATCATTGTTCATGCCTTTTTCAATCCATTTTTTCTATCAATTCACCTTCCTTGATCTTCCCCAAAGCTAACAGAAGAAGAATTGAGCCTTGAAACCTTCTGAATTGGTCTGACCAAGTCCATTTACAGTCTGCAACTGAACTTCAATAGGTAGATTTCTCCATCAATTCTTCTAAACTTTGATATCATTGTGAAGCTCTCATTACCCTGGTTCTAGTTGCAACACTTTCTTTTAATTGGAAACACGTTTTGGCCATGCATTTTCAAATTCCTTTTCAAAAAATTTCTTCCAAATTGCTTGAGCTACAGCTTATATAAATTTCTCGCAAAGGCGTGGTTGTCTTCATCTTGATGAGACGAAGCGAATGGTGCCGATCTCGTGCTCTAATTTTACAGTTTGAGCAAGCTCGATTTGAGACTGGCTGGAGGTTGAAGATGACCAACGTGTCATCCTTCAATCAATGAAACAATACCATTTGGAATTTTTGAATATCTGATTTAATTAATGATCATGTGTGTTATTCACTAATGTCTATGAATGCACAGCGTGTCCGATCCATTGGATCAGCTTACTAACGCGTTTTGACTCTCATCCATTGGTCCACATTTTTTTGACTTTATTTTATTTTCTGATTTTTATATTTAAATTGTTTTAAACTTCAAAAAATCATAGAAAATTCATTTCAAGTCCAAAAAATCTGAAAAAATTATGAAAAATATTTTGGTTTATTTTACTCATTTTAATTTTAAAAATAGTTTCTGATTAAAAAATTACCAAAAATTTTATAAAAATATTTGAGTTCATTTCTGATTTTTCTATGGTCTTACTTAATCTTTCTTGATTAATTTGAACATAGTTGATATTTTTATCTCTTATTTCTATTTTAAAACCCTTTTTAATGCATATATTAAATATAATATTATTTTGTATTATTTTTTGGCTGATCTTGGATTGAATTTTTGATCATGAACTTTATTGATATCATTGGATCTATGGTGTTGAGTCTTACTCCATAAAAATGGATGAATGATTTTAATAATAGTTTGATTAAATTTTAATTAAAAAATGATTGGTATATTCTTTCCCACCCCTCTTCATCTTATTCCTTTCTTATTGCACTAAGTGTTATTGGAGCATGATCTCTATATCATGTTTCAAAATAAATGGTGCATAAATTGCTATTGACCGTCCTCAAAATAGGTGCGACTTCTATATAAGTCCACTTATGATTACTTAACATAGCGCTAAATTTTGTCCCGATTAGAATAAATGATCATTCGTGGCCCAAACCTATGTTTGCAAGCCCAAGTATATTAATTTGATCTCTTTGATCCAATAACCTTGAGATTCATTGTGTGGAGGATTTGGTTCTACCAATCCTCTAATGGATCAACATTACTTTTGGTTAACGCGGATCACTTAAACATCGTTGATCATTAAATATTACTTTTGAGGATTCCAAAATGGATAATATACTTGACAAAAATCAAATGCAACTTGTTGTGTAGAGGCTTTGGTTCTACCAATCCTCTAATGAGTTCCAAATGCAAGTTTCAAGATGGTCATCCAACTAACCTCTAATTTCTAACAATTGACTTTACTTTATGCTTTTATTTTTATGCTTTATGTACCATTTACTTTAGCATTTATATTTCATGCTATTTTTCATCTTTGCTCACTTGAGTATTTACTTTTATGTCATTTTTATTTTTGCTCACTTGAGCTTTTCTTTTCTTTTTGAAGATACTTAATAATCAACATAAACCATAAAAAACTTTAATGATATTTGGACTATTTGGTTACTATCCTTGGCATTATTGAGTATTGGACTTCTTGGACTTAAGATTAGAAAACTTGGCCTATGTTGGAGATCTTATGACCTTAATTGATATTTTGTCTAGAGTTCTTGAGGTTTACCTCAAGACATTGGGTTATTTGTTTGTTTTGTGTGCATGTTATTATGATTACATACTTTGTTTGTAATCTGGAATTCACCCGTATACAACCGTTACTCTGTCCAATTTTTATGAAGACTTAATACACTTGAAGTTTAGTTTTATCAAGAGGTCTAGTATCTTTGCTTGTTTCGTTTCAATCCAAAGAATGGGAATTCTATCTTGACTCATAATGTAAAGTATTTACTTCTTGTTGGCTAGATGGTTCTTATCCCTAACTTTTACCTTATGCTTTAGGATAGTCTCTTCTTCTCCTCCCATCTTCTTTAATTTCAAAAATCTTCTCCCTCATTTTGAAAACTCTTCTTGTTTCTAAACTTGAACCACTTTCATAATAAACTTGGACTTAGGTCCATGCATTTTCAAAACATTTTCATAAATAAACTTCAATCAAATTAATAATACCTTGACATTTTTTGTGAGAAGACTAAAAGTCAATCAATCTCATTTCAAACCATTTTGCCACTTTGGTTGTTTATTTTAAAACATTTCTAAAAAAATTAGACTCTTGTAAATCCTTGTAGTGATGCAAACAACTATACTTCACAATATGTAGTGAAGTGAGATATTTTCCACTTGGGTATTGAGTGAGGCTTTGTTGATTTTAAAATCAAAGCCATATCCTCCACTTTGAGATGATGCAAATTCTCCTTCCTCATAATTGTGGGTAGTAAGTATGTTTTCCACACGGACAATGACGATATGTCTTATCTTATAAAATCAACCAACACACTTGTGTTTTAAATTTTTTTAAAGGTGAACTACGTGTACCCTGATCTCCTATTTCACGAAAGGTGGTACGTAGACACTAAAGGTTCGCAACCGCGGAGGGTGCAAAAATCATTAAAAAAATAATTCTTTTCTCACATCCACCAT